GAGGTGGAGGAGGAGGAGGAGGAGGAGGAGAAGAAGAAGAAGAAGAAGAAGAAGAAGAAGAGGAGATTGGATTTATACCCCGCCCTTCACTCGGAGTCTCAGAGCGGCTTACAAACTCCTCTCCCTTCCCCTCCCCACAACAGACACCCTGTGAGGTGGGTGGGGCTGAGAGAGCTCTGACACAAACTGCTCTTTTTCAAGGACAGCTGTGCCAGAGCTTGCGACTGACCCAAGGTCACATCAGCAGGTGCAAGTGGAGGAGTGGGGAATCAAACCCGGTTCTCCCAGATTAGAGTCCGCACACTTAACCACTACACCAAACTGGATTAAAAAATGGTTAAAACGGCAGGAAGCAGAGAGCAGGAATAAATGGATAGTTCCCTCAATGGATGGCAGTGAGAAGTGGGGCCCTACAACGATCACTGTTGGAACCGGAGTGACTTAATTTGTTCATCGACAATTTGGAATTGGGGGTGCCCAGACAGACTGTGAAGACCTACAGAAGGATGTCTCTAAATCAGATGGGCGAGCAACAACAGGGCAGATACATTTCAACACGTGTATAAGGTAATGCACGCTGGAACAAAAAATCATGAAGTTAAGCATAAGCTGACAGTGTCTGAACTGACTAAGATGGAAAGAGATGAAAATGTCAATGCAGCGTGTGTGCTACAGCGCTGAAAAAGGAAACTCCATGCTAAGAATTACTAGCATAGGGACTGAAAATAAATCAATCATTATTGTAATGCCCTTGTCTAGGGCTACGGTGTGGTCTCATCTATCAGTAGAAAAAGGGATGCAAGAAGAGTGACCCTTCAATTCCAGTTGCTTCCTTTTAAAGTATCCCTTTGCAAATGCAGACTTCTCAAGAAAAAAGCCAAAGCAACTAGGAGATAGCATTCGCCACCCCCCACCAAGAAAAATAACCTCTCACCTCCTTGAAAAAGCACTATTTCAGCCTTCTTTGCAAAAGAAAAACACTGTTGTTTAAAAATGGGAGGGTCACCCTTCAGTATGCCACAAGGCTGTTCTTTTGATTTTCCTCCCCACTTGAACGCATCTTGTGAGTGAAAGCCTCTTGCTCCATCTCTCCTCTGAGACTCTAATGCATTTAATGCGTCCCACAGTGGGGCTGCAAGGGGGAATAAGAATTTCTTGTCCCTCCATGGAGGGGGGAAGCCGAGCTTCCAGCTCAGAGAGCTGAGACTCTACCTTCCAAGGGAGGACCACACCACCCTCTTCATCCCTCCAGAAAATCCAAGCCCTGTCCCAGCAGCCTTGCCCACGGCTCAGCCGGCTCCCACAGACATTCCACCTCTGCAGAAAAATATCACCTTTATAAATAATTTCGTTGGACTTCTCTCTGGGGTCAAGACCTACACAGCAGCGTGTGATCGAACAGGCTTGAGGGACACAGTCTTGTGAGCAGTGAGAATACTTGCCCTGGGGGGGCTGCTGCAGCAACAGACGAACATGGCTACCCCCTTAGGATGCCACCGCTTCCGGAGCCCCCTGCATCCTGAGGAGAGCTGCCACCGCTGGAAGCCAATGGTGGCCCGATGGATGCTCTCCAAAACCCATCCAGAGTGGGAGAGCTGAGGGCTGTTTTCCCCAAGGATCGCCCTCCTTCGGAATGCTGGTGCGGTCAGCAGTGAGGAGCTGGAAACCCCCCCCCCTCCCGAGGCCAAACCGAGAGCTGCCCATCCTGCTCTACATGTCCTCTCGGGTGGCGGGCCCCCTGCTTCCGTCAGCCGCACGGCAGCCTCCTCTCCCTCTGCGGGCAGGGGTGTGTGTGTGTGTGTGTGTGTCGCACACGGGTCGGGGCTCCTCCTCACCTCTTGCTCCAAGTCAAGCAGGGCCTGCCGGTAGGGCTGCAGGATGGCATCCAGGCCGGTGCAGAAGGCTCGCAGGTAGATCCCTTGCTGGGCCAGGTGAGAATCCTGAAAGCGGAGCCGAGAAGGCAGAGCTGCCTGAGCCCTGGGCGGGTGGCCACCAACCCCAAGTGTGCCTCCAAACCCCCCCCCCTGCACCTGCCGCCCCCCTCCCCCTGCTCCCTCCTCGAGGCCCACCTGCTGAGGGGGGGGCGGCGGGAAGTGCGGCTGCGGCGGTGGGAGCAGCGGTGGGACGTGCTCGGCGAACTGCTCGACGAACTCGCTGAAGCGGATGTAGAAGGTGCCGAGGCGGCAGACGCGGGCCAGGAGGCCGCTCTCGCTGGGGTGCAGGAAGGGCAGCTCTGGACACACCTGAGGAGCAGGAGGG